GCGGAGTTTTCTCAGTCTGTAACTCAATGTCATCATGGCCCATGAGATTCTGAATTAGCTTTAAATATATTTGCTTAAAAAAATGCAGGTAAATGAGAAAGTATTCGATAGTTGTAAAGTCTGGCAAATAAATAGAGAAATGAGTCATCATGCTGAACAGGAAGAAACGATCGAGATATTAAAAATTCCAGTGGTGTAGTGTACCAAATTATATTTAAGGAAGATATATAATAATTGATTACAATTTTATTTTTGTTTGTCCTTCAAATAAATGCACATTTAGGCATCTATATATATATATTATTTTAAATGTGGTATTATGACGTACCACATATCCCTTTAACATGTGCTCATTTTAGCTATATGGGATTGAGGTTGCAGTGGTATGGAGGTAATCTGTGAAGAGTAATTCCTCGTCTGCGAGCCATTCCATCTACAAACATACTGCACATAATTTTGGTCGATGTTGCTTTACTAAAGATACCAGTTCCGTTTCGATGGCGTTATTGTGGAATGGTATTCCTTTTTCTTGAAGCTATTATTGAATTTCGGCCTTCTGACTTGCTCTAGTGGGAATTGCTTCACTTATACGACTGTAGTACGGGGCATTATCCATTAGAATAATGGCTATTCTCTTCCACACGTTAGAGAACATTGTCGAACCACTGCTCGAAGCGATCCGCATTCATGTCCTCGTGGTAATCGCCGATTTTTTTTTTTTGATAAAAATATTACACTACTAACCTGAAGGAAACAACTGTCGCTATCTATATGGGTCACAATCAATCGTTGGCCTTTTCCCGTCGGACATCGGAAGCCGGTTGATACGCCCTCCATAATAGCTTGTCGACTACTTTTGACTGTAGTATCTGTCCACACTTTTCCGACAGTGTGTCCCACATCTCATCCAAGTAGTATACTTTGCGATTTGCTGGCGGTACTCCGCAATCGTTCGGAGATACTTTCATCTCGACGACACAATTTCTGGTTTTAACGTGCTTTTCGAGTGTGTTTTGAATATCGAAATTATCTAATAATTTTCGTAACGATTCCCGGCTCATCGATAGAATCAACATATTTTCGTTGATTTTAAGCCACACGGTGTCAAGAGTGGGAATGTCATTTTTAAAATAAAATGAATGTTCTGTTTGTCGTACAGCCTCTTCGCCGTCAGTCAATCATTATTTATTTGTTTTCTTCCACGTAAATTTGTTTTTGGCGCCTCAATTGTACCTGTACCTTTTTTTTTTCACGTGCAATTTTATAAATTGTCGAAGAAAATACCTTCGTCATGCTTTTCAGTAAAGCTACTAAAACTTTGTTTGTTTTACATGCCTGTTCATATGATAGTGGAACAAGTAAGAATATATTGGGTTGTTCGGAAAGTCATTTCGTTTTTTCCCGACAGGGGATTTAATTGTATTCTTTTCCACCCAATTTCACATTTAAGCCGTATAATTTTTATATGCTTTGAGAGCTCATATAGCAAGGTTTGCGGTGAAAAATTCCAATTAATTCTACACAGTAGTTTTTGGTTGGTGCCCTTTTAAATATGGAGAGCGATAAGCAGCATTTTCGACATATCTTACTGTTTTACTACAGAAAGGGTAAAAATGCTGTTCAAGCCAGAAAGAAATTGACTGATGTGTATGGAGAAGGTGTGTTGACAGTACGCCAGTGCCAGAACTGGTTCGCTAAATTTCGATCCGGCAATTTTGATGTCGAAGATGCACCACGTTCGGGAAGGCCGGTTGAAGCTGATAAAGACGCGATAAAGGCATTAGTTGATGTGAACCGGCGAATAACAACACGTGAGATCGGATTGAGGTTAAATTTATCAAATTCAACAGTTTATGACCACTTGAAAGGCCTGGGATTATCCTCGAAGCTCGATGTATGGGTTCCCCATGTTCTCACAGAGAGAAATCTGTGTCGCCGCATTGACGTCTGCGATTCGCTTCTCAAACGTCACGAAAATGATCCGTTTTTGAAGCGCATCATCACTGGGGACGAAAAATGGGTTGTATACAACAACGTCAAACGCAAGAGGTCATGGAGCAAAAAAGATGAACCGGCTCAAACCATTTCCAAAGCCGATATTCACCAAAAAAAGGTGATGCTGTCTGTTTGGTGGGATTTTAAAGGAATCGTTTTTTTTGAGCTTTTACCGGATAACACAACGATTAATTCGGAAGTCTACTGTCATCAGCTGGACAAACTGAATGATGCACTTCAACAGAAAAGGTCAGAACTAATCAACAGGAAAGGTGTAGTGTTTCACCAAGACAACGCGAGACCTCACACAAGTTTGGTCACTCGCCAAAAGCTTTTACAGCTTGAATGGGATACAATGCTACACCCACCATATTCTCCAGACCTGGCACCATCGGATTATTATTTGTTCCGGTCACTCCAAAATTTTTTAGACGGTAAAACCTTCACCTCAAATGAGGAGGTCAAAAACCTCCTCGATCAGTTTTTTGCCAGCAAAGACCAAAAATTTTATGAGCGTGGAATTATGCTACTACCAGAAAGATGGCAAAAGGTGTTGGACCAGAACGGTCAATATATAATTTAATAAAGTATTTGTTTATTATACGAAAAGTGTCTTTCATTTCCACAAAAAAAAACTAAATGACTTTCCGAACAACCCTATAGTAGATAATGCACCTGACCAGTCACGACTATGAGATAATAAAATTTCTTGTTCCAATACTGCAGAGATGTGCGCCACCCTTACCAACAATATCTTACAATGTTAGTTACAGTATTAGTGCATTCATTTTGCATGCACATCTCTACAGTTTTGTGATTGCAATTCTACCGATGATCATTTCACTATTTATTTGCCAGACTATAGCAAATATATCCTTTTATCTAACCTACCTTCTTTTTGACAGCCACTAGTACTAATCATTCTAATAAAATGAGCTCATGAAAACGACGCTTTAAGTAGCTTTGTAGTAAAAAATGGAAACACTTAAATGTGTTACTTTATGTTCATCTTTAAAATATGTTGAAGTCGTTTGAATGGTATATAACAAAAGAGATTTCAGTTGGATGGAAATCGTTCCGCAAAATTTAATATACATGAAGTTTCACTCCTAAGAGTAATATGCTTTTTTTTTTTCATATTTCTCCTCTTTTACTTCATAATATGACGTAGGCATAATAAACTCAATAAAAACGAACAAAAGCGCGAAGGCTGATAAGTTAAGAAGTGAAGTAAGAAAAAATACAGACGCCAAAATTACATTTCTGCTTCTGGCTCGGAACGGTTGAAGAAATGAAGCAAAAAAAAGAGATTCGGATTCGTAATAACACTTTTGTCCTAGATAACGGCCATATATACGCCGGGAGGGTTGCGACAATAGACGCCTCTACTCCGTACTTTATCCTTTTACGTATTGTTGCCGATATTGCTACAATTAAAAGGGAAACTGGGGAACCATTAGAAAGATATTTTTCTACCGCGTCTTTTCAATAAATTAATATATGGAGCAGCTTCGGTTTGGTCCGTGATTTATCGAAACTGCTTATAGCGTGCTGATGAGAAGTAATTAGTTTTAAATCGTGTTTTTTCGATTTTGTTGTAGGACAAAGAAGTTCATGGTTGTCAATATTCTGTCGAAATCGTCAGTCACGGATCGCGATTTCGACCTCACCAGTGCGTCGCAGACAGTTGCGATCAGCTCTATAAACAGCGTTTTATGAAGTATCAAAAACGGTGTAGTGAACGTCATCTGTTGTACAATGCTACATTTAGTAGAATTCAATATGTCCAACAAGATCCATTTACGTTGATGGATATCTACTTGCTGAACTAAATCCATGACGTAACTCACTATACGTGGTAGATACGTAACCGATTTGGTTTTTAAAGTGGTATTTGACTATTGGTATTGATTTTGCTATACATTGTCATCATTATCCAGAATGATGAAGTGTAACGATGATCTCAAAGGGTACTTAACGATGTGTGAGAGAGGACTTACAGTTGACATTAAATTTCAATGGGCAAAGCTTTAAATAAAATCAGTACTGTATGAAAATAAATAAAAGTAAAACTAAAATACTGGTGTGCAAGAGAAGAAAAAGGAAGGAAAGAACGAATATAAAGATAGGAGTCGAAAAAAAAAGTGGCTGATTTAAGATATCTAGGAAGTCAGATAAGTCAGGACGGAAGGAGTAGTAGGGATATAAAGCAGAGGATAGCGCAGGGTCGTGTTGTCTTTAATAAAAAGAAGTCACTTCTATGCTCGCGAACGGTTAATTTAGAAATTCGAAAAAGTTGTTAAAGGTGTATGTTTGTAGCGGCGTTGTACGGGTGCGAAACATGGGCAGTGGGCGCGGCAGAAAAGAAAAGGTTAGAAGCGTTCGAAATGTGGTATTATAAGCGAATGATGAGGATACCATGGATAGAAAAGGTTAGAAATGAAGAGGTTTTAGAAAGAATAGGAGAACAGAGGACTCCATGAAAGTCAATAAAAAATATGCGAGATAGGTTGGTAGGACACCTTCTCAGGCATGAAGGAGGCAAAAACAAGGGTTAGGAGGGATAGAGGTAGACCCAGATTAGATTACTGTTTGCAAATAATTAAGGATGTGAGTTGTTCTAGTTTTAAGGAAATGCGAAGTTTAGCTCAGGATAGTAAAGAGTGGAGGTACGTGTCCAACCAGTCATAGGACTGACGACCTTATGATGATGATGAAAGGAAAGTTGAGGAATGTGGGTTATTTTTATGACATAGGTGAGATGATACAATATTGAATGTTTGTTATTTAATAACGCTCAAAAAACATTAGTTGACATATGTTGAAGGCAATACGTTGAGTTATGTCTAGTTAAATTCGATACTAATCAGAAATGTGTGTACACCGTATGAATGATATTGCACGAGATATGATTTCCATAACAATAATTTCTCCTGCTAATTAAATACGTCGACGGTTGTCTATTTAGGTATGATACAAGATTAACAGTTAGTTCAATAACTCACCTGAAATTGAGTTGGCATGTTCCGTTGGCGTCGGCGGTATGCGATGATAGGGGTGCGTTGTCGGAGGTGGAGGACAAGGAGGAGGGTGGTTCGCCTGGGTACGCGAAACGTCTCTCGTCCCATCCTGTTATTCTACCGTCGGTTGTGATTATATAATGAAGGGACTGCTCGCAGGAACACGTCGAAAGGATGTTCACATGTGCCGAGTTGTCAGGCTTAAAATTGAACAAAACACAACGGCTGTTTAAATTTAATTAGTTTGTCGTTTATTGTGCGGGCCTAGTTGGCGATTTTCATTAACTGAAAATAACAACTGCTCGTTTTCTAACCGTAATATTGAGAGAGAAACCCGAAATTAAACAACTCCAACTCTGAATAAGGACGTTTGGGGAAAGCAATATGAATTTTCCATTCCCAACGGAGATGTGTTGGTATATTTTCAGCTTAAATTAGTACCTTAGGGAAGTCATCAAAGTTATTGTTGTTTTCTTACCGGGTCTATCAGAAAACAACTTTGTGGAAGAAAATCCAAATTATATCATCTAATAAAACAACAAATACTGAAAATAGTTTATCGGAAGCAGACTGATTCAGCTTCTTGACAATAAACCATTATATTAATCACTTCTTCGTCCAGCAGTTCAACTCTTTTAAGCTAATGGACGAGTTCATACGTAAAAGAGTCGACTAAAACCTTCAATTATAGGATCTGTTCTTTTGTGTCTAACTACTTACACACCAGTAATTATCAATTATATACCAAAGGGAGCACTGCTTTGATCGATTTAGTATCATTTGCAATTAAATAATATGATTAGGATCCAATTTTATCGTCCATTCTGAGACATGTAACCAGAACATGAAGTTTTCTGCACACAAGCATTACTTACAGGGTTTGTCTGCAAATTAATAAGACTGTGTCTGCTAAAAAGAATTTATTGATCAGGTCGGTACAAAATTCATCAAAATAGTCTCCTTAAGCATCGGTACACCTCTGCTAACGCGATTTCCACGCGACAAAGGCCCATTGGACATCAGCTGCTGTAACGTTTTTCAAAAACTTTGTAACCGCTCCGTTAGATAGCGTGAATATCTTCGAAATTGTGAATTTCTAGCGACTGGAGCACCACACAACTGCCCGTCTTTTTACTTTACGGACAAACCCCGTATCTGTTACTTGTGAGTAGACACAAAAGATCAAATATTTTATTGCTTGTGGAGATCATTTCCTAGCTGAAATTAGACATCGAGGCAAAGACTTACTTGTAATGTATTCTGAACACCCTCAATGAGTAGGTAACAGTCAGATGAGGAGTTCCATTTGTAGATTGGCTCTCTTGCCAACACATAATGGCTCTCGATCTCTTTGCCTTCGACCGACACAAGTTCCGCCTAAAACAAAATCACTACTGCACCTTTGATCATAAAAATACAGACAGAAACAAAAATTAAAACTTAAAAAGGACAAAATTTTCTTCAGTAGAATTACGTACTTAAAAGGAGCGCGTTAATAAATGCGATGGAAATTACAGTAGGTAATTGTAATCAGTAAAATAGGAAAGTTTGTGTCTGTTTTAAGCGATGGATAACAAGTTTATGTTTGGAACACGTTTCTGTGAAGGTTGAAAATGTGAAAAATAGGAGCAGCTATAACGAGGAAATTAGAAATAGTTAAAGATGTGGTTAGAGATGAGGACGCAGTGGAAGTCAAAAGGAAAAATAAAGTTAATTTTAACCATTTTCTTTAGGGCGGAATGAAGTAGCATCTTGTAGTGAAGAAAATCAGTCGGGTAAGCAGATCACGGAAAGCACTCATCAAGAAGAGACCAGTGAGCAAATCAAACACCAAGAATAATAACACCAACATCAGATGAAAAATATCGCGACGAAATTTCCTTCGGCGCAAACGAACTCGAAATACTCGAGAAGCTCTTAATGAGGTCATCAGGCGTTCCTTTGAGATTATCTTTTTAATCAAGTTCCCATTGTCTTTCGGTGTAACTATAAAAATGTTTTTGCCTCTCGAGAACAGCGACGGCTGGGGAATTCATTTCCGTTTTTTGTCCGAATCTAACGAAAATCGGACTTGTCAGAGATTAATATTTCACGGAAAGGTTTTTTCTTTTTACTCACTTAGCCCGCCTGGAAGTTGTAGTACACGAGATATACATGAGTTTTTATCTCAGCCTCTACCTAAATGTGCTTAAGACGATTGCTAAGTTTACGTGCCAGGTGATGCTTTTGTACGGGACGGGGAAAGTCCCGGAGGAACGTGGTAGTAACTATACTTAAAAGGAGAGGCGCGGATAGGTGCGAGACATTTAGAACAAGTAGCTTAACTTCGTATACGTCAAAAATCTTAACTAGACTTGTACAGAGGAGGATGGAAGAAAGGGCGGAAGAACTATTAGAGGAAGATCAATTTGGGTTTAGAAGAAATAGAGGAACACGGGAGGTCATTCTAGTTTTACGAGTAACAATAGAGAAAACGATATAAAAAGACTAAAAGAGTGCATACATAGAATTTGTAGATTTAGAAAAGGCTTCTGACGGTGTTAAATGGGATAAGATGTTAAATATACTTCAAAATGTAGGGATCAGTTATACAGATAGAAGAGTGATACTTAGTTTGTATAAAGAGCAACAGGCAGTTATAAAGTTGGGGCTGCAACGTAGTGAAGTAAATATAAGGAAGGAAGTCAGATAAGTCAAGACGGAAGGAGTAGTAGGGATATGAAGCAGAGGACAACGCAGGGTCAAGTCGCCTTCAACAAAAAGAAGTCACTTGTATACTCGCGAACGATTAATTTAGAAATTCGAAAAAGATTGTTAAAAGTGAATGTTTGGAGTACGGTGCTGTACGGGTGCGAAACAAGGACGGTGGGCGCTGCGGAAAAGAAAAGGTTAGAGGCATTCGAAATGTGGTGTTACAGGCGAATGATGAGGATACCGTGAATAGAGAAGCTTAGAAAGAAGGAAAACAGAGGACTCTATGGAAGTCAATAAAAAATAGGCGAGATAGGTTGGTGGGACACCTTCTCAGGAATGAAGGTCTAGTCAGAGAGACATATTGAAGGCAGAAACGCGAGTTAGGAGAGATAGAGGTAGGCCTAGATTAGATAATTGTTTGTTAATAGTTGTGAGTTGAGGATGTGGGTTGTTCTAGTTTTAGGGAAATGCGAAGATTAGCTCAGAATAGGAAAAAGTGGAGGTGGGTGTCCAACCAGTCTTAGACTTTACGACCTTATGATGATGATGATGAAAATGCAATGCTAGTTCACGACTTTGTTATGTTTATTATCGTTTAAATAGATTGTAGAGGGAGATGCAGAGGTATATGCACCAGGAAATTCTGACGGAATTTGAATATGTTATGGAGAACGGAATAGAAAATAACCACTTCAGAAATGAAAACATTTGAGGGCGGGTAATATTAAAATTCAGAATTGAACTTCTATGAAACTCTCGAAATTAGATATGCATCAAATGGTGATTTTGTCGGATACCGGGTAAGCAGGTACCCGGCATAAACGCTACGGTTAATGGTTCATGTCTTCGGTGTTAAAAAACTTTTGGGTGTTTCACTCCTAGCAGCCACTAAGGCCTGGTAGGTGAGCAGTTCCTCCGGACTATGCCGGAAGGTAGGGTGGAAGGCCCTCTTCAGTCTCATTTGAGGAATATTGGACATGGGTGTGCGGTGGTTCGTATGAGAAAGATAAGACGGACGAAACGAAGACAGAAGAGAATGAAATATTATCTATGAAATATTACTGCTCCAGCATTTGCCTAAGTGATCCAAAGAAACCATAGAAAAACTAGAACCTAGGCAGACGGACCTGAAATCGAATCGAATACTAAGCAATGGTCTAAACCTCTAGGCCATGCCGCTCGATTGTCTTCGGTGTGGAGGTCTTTCTATAAATATCACCGTCACCAACGTCCCAAACTATATTAAGTTCGTTCAAGAAGTCTTTTAAATACAAAACCAATGAAATTTTAATTCTTGGTTGACGGATTTTCAACGAGTTGAAATCGTTGAAACGAGCAATAAGGAACACTAATAAGTTAGCGCTAATCAAACCCTGATATATCCTACTAACAAGTGGCAGAAAGGGTAACAGTACGGTGATATGTACTGATGTATTCTTGTTCTCGAGAAAAAGTAAGTACAGAAACTATGTCGAAATAACAAATAATTTAGTTTAGTAATTAAAATATAATATAAATTAGGGCAAACGACCTACCCCAATACAACCTTAATTACCAACAAGGTTTTTTCTTATAGTTATTAAAGTATTATTGCTAGTGTTTGTTTTCTATTTTCTATCTAGTACCCATTATATATATAACAACAAACTGTTAGAGATAAATGTTTAAAGTCTTATATCAGTAGAAAGGGCTTTTAATTTCGCATCGAACGCTATTTTGGTTATTTTATTCCATATGAAAAAAAAAAGTTATTCGTCGTTTAAGATTGTCAAAAGTAGCTTTCAATATTTCTGGCTCTGACTAACGTACACGATGGCAAAAAAGATACGGTAATTTATGCTAAAACCAACTGTCCAAACCGCATGTTTTTAGCTTTTATAGTTTGGATGCTAATTGGTTTCATTCAAACAGCTGAAATCGTGTTTGAATATCTGAGGAATTATGAAGATTGGAAAAACTTTGGCGGTTGTTGTAGAACAAACAGAATAGCTCAAAACCCCAACGCCAAAACACGACACTGTAGTTGTCCGAAGCACTTTTCGGTAACAAAGTTACCTTCTTCAGGGTCCCTGTTTGTTCTATCTGAGGAATTAGTTAAGATGGGTATAGCGAACTGTTAACATTGTCGACCTAAAATTAAACAAAGCGTCAAGAAGAAATGTAACACCCCGTATAACTGAAAATATTTTCTGTATATAGGTACACCACTTTTACAAAAACATTTTTTTGTTAAAAGTGTAATAACGGAGTTATGGACGAAACCGCCTTACGTGAAACACCCTGTATATTTACGTACAATAATCTAATCTAGGTCTACCTCTGTTCCTTTAAATACCCTCTGATATATATTTTTGATTTCCATAACGGCCTCTCTTCTCCTAATCTGTGTTGTAACTCCTCATTTCTAATTTTTATTTCTGAAAAAATGCGTCTATTTCGGCTTAAATATATTAAGTCGATGATACAGCGCAATCCTTTTAAAAAATCTACAAAAATGTAGATTGTATCATTAGAGCACGGCGATCGTTAAACTGAAATGTATATGAAATGCAAATAAAGCGACTTGTTCTGCGAAGATCCGGAAAATTAGCAAAGAAAATTTTGTTCGCCGTCAAGCAGTTGATGGGGGAATAAAAGAGTTTTCGAACGTAAAAAGCGCGCTATCCGAACTCAAAGTTTCCGTGCAATTTAAACGTTCAATCAGGAGAAGAACTGTAGTAGATAACGACTGTCGGGTAACGATTATGGAAAAAGCGTTTATTATTTTTATACTGAATAGAGAAGGTTTCCAACCTGACGAAGAGGTACTAGAAAGAATATGTGAACAAAGGACTCTATGAAGGTCAATAGGAAATAGGCGAGATAATTCGGTAGGACACCTTCTCAGACATGAAGGGGTAGTCAAAGTCAGTCAGGAAGAGGAGTAGAGGTGGACCTAGATTAGATTACTGTTCACAAATAGTTAAGAATATGATGGGATGTTCTAGTGTTAGGGAAATGCGAAGATTAACTTAAGATAGGAAAGAGTGGAAGTGCGTGTCCAAACAGTCTTAGGACTGACAACCTTATAATGATGATGATGATGATTTTTATACTTCAAACTTCTGTAATATACTTTCCGTGTGCACCTGCCCAGTCACCACTGAAGATGCCGTCAGTAAAGAACGGCGAAACGTCTGGAAAAGCAAGATTCCACGGACCACGGCCAAAGAGCCCGGAAGAAAACACAGCATCGATAGACGCCGGCCGTGAAAGCCTAAGAACTACAGTTTCCGTGTACAGTTTTGTCCTTCTTAGGGTTCCATACCTCAAAAGGAAAAAGGAACCTTTATACAATCACTTCGTTTCGTTGTCCGTCTGTCTGTCTGTCAAGACCTTTTCCCTAAAGAACGCGTCTAGGTATCAAATTGAAATTAATATCAAATACTCAGGTCTGCAACCACTTGTAGTAGTTGTCAGAAAGATCAAACTTCTGAGTCAACGCAATCAAAGATACAACTGTTTATGTCGTATATTTTGATACTGGTAAGAGAATCAAAACCTATAGGGTATTTTTTGTTGATTTAAAATCGTGAAATTCGGAAACCGTAGATTTGTAGAGTTACATCACAAAAATATCTACAAGTTTGTAGAGAACCCTCGGTGCGAAGTCCGATTCGCACTTGACCGGTTTTCTATATATC